CGGGGCCGGGGAGCCGGCGCGGCGAGTCCGCGCCCTGCCAGCCCTGACCCGACCTCGCGGCCGCAGGACATGGCCAACAGCGAGCGCACCTTCATCGCCATCAAGCCGGACGGCGTGCAGCGCGGCCTGGTGGGCGAGATCATCAAGCGCTTCGAGCAGAAGGGATTCCGCCTCGTGGCCATGAAGTTCCTTCAGGTGACGCGCCACCCCCGCCCCGCGCCTCGCCGCCCACGGCGGGCTTTCTCTCCCTGGGGGCGCCGAGTTCGTGCTTCCGCTCCGAGTCGGAGCCCGCTCGCCCGACTTCGCACCGCCAGGATTCCTTTGCCCTGGGCTCCGGCCTCGGCTCCTCCGCCCGGTGGACGCTTTTCAGAGGCCGGAGGACAGACGCCCTTGGCAAGGTTAAGTGGGGGTAGCGCGACTCCTGCCCCGGGACTGGGTCCGACTGGGGCCGCCACGCGCCGTCGGGCGCAGCGGGCAGCAGGGAGGGAAGCGAGCCTGCGCCCCGGGTCGGCCCTGTGCTGGGGGCAGCTGGAGCCGGCGTGGAGGCCGGGAGTCTTCTTCGCGCGGCAGTTTGCAGTTCGGAGAGGTGGGAGCTGGAGATGGGCGTTCCTTTCTCCGTCCACCTCTGCCTTTTGGCGTCGGGCGGGAACTCCATTTTCCACGTGGAATGTGGAGCCTATGACCTTAAGGGATAAATTTTAACCAGGCTAATCACTGAAAAGGAGAATGTTTGGGGTGAACGGGCCAGAGGTTTGATATGACTTCTCTTTGTCATGTTTCCTTTCCTTCCTCTAAATCTGGATCCTCAAGCCACCTACTTTTAGGATTATAACATCCGAGGTTATTCACATTGCCTGAGTATCGGCATGATCAGAAACATTTTTTTTCTGCTGCACTAGCTCAGGACTCACGTTTGGGGTTTTTTTAGACACACCTTATGAATGTGAGCTAAGTAGGTAACCGGGTTTTTAGAGCATCTGCAGGGGATTCTTAGGATGGGACTAGCCTTTTCAGTTTACGTCCTAACTGCTATTTCTTCTTAAATGCCAGGCCTCTGAGGAGCTCCTGAAGCAGCATTACATAGACCTGAAAGACCGCCCTTTTTTCCCTGGGCTGGTGAAGTACATGAACTCTGGGCCGGTTGTTGCAATGGTAAGCACTTAGCCGAGGAGGGAAGCAGGGAAGTGAGGCCGGTGTATGACTGGGCTTGGTCAGTCCCTGAGTGTGTCTTTTTTAGACCTAACAGGTGTTTTAGAACTTAATATTCCTAGATTTAAATTCTTGCGGTCCTCCATCCCCATTTTCTCCATGAAAAACTAAAATGTAATTATGTAACAATAGGAACTGAAAATTCTTGTATTCCTATGCTATTCATATTCCTGTATCTTAGTGTGGCATTAATGTTCGATTAGAAAAATTGTTAAGAAAACAGATTTACTTCCTGTCCCTGGGAGGTGACCTTTTTTTTTCTGGGCTCTGTACTTGCACCTTGCATGTCAGTGGTGAGGCTCTCACTGAGGTTCTTTCCACTGATCCTATTCAGGTCCAATCATTTCTGTCTGATCACTGTTTCTTTGTAGTCTTTGTGGCTGCTTAAGAATTGACTTACAAGTTTTTTTT